TGGGAGTCCAGTGACATAACCATTATGCTAACTGCTGGTCCCATGACTGTCTCCTTTTGAATTATTGTAATCTTTGAATTAAGCATGGGAATAGCGCTTAGATGTTGCTAGTATGACTTCAGTATTTTAAAAAAAGAATTTATTTAATTTTATTTATTTATTTTCCTAAGAGAGATTTTTGCTGTAGAGCATGTGTGCTCACCAGAGAGAAAGAGAAAGCGTGAAATCACCCCCGAAAAGATGGCCATGCCACAGTTCCTTCTCCTCCATTCTCCTCTTGGGATTTAGGGCATGTACCCATGCACAACAGGTGTGAGTTTTAAGTCACCAGGTCAGGGACTTGAACTGCAGTCACCTGCGTGGGAGTCCAGTGACGGTACCATTACACCATCTGCTGATCCCATCATTATTATTTTTAAACTTTCTATAGGGTATATACACTCACCAGAGAAAGAGAGAAGAGAGAGCAAGTCACTATGGCTAGGACTTGAACTGCAGTTGGTCATGTGGGAGTCCAGCACCTTAACCACCAGGCTACCTGCTGGCCCCAACTTAAGTATTTTTTAAAAACTTTATTTACTACCAAAATATTTAAGGAAATGTATAGTGATATGTGGAGATGGTGGGGTTTTTTATTTTTTTATTTTTTTGCTAGAGGATGATGCTCAGACTCAAAGAATCTTTGAGTTAAAAAAGAACTTTAGAATCACCTAAAATAAAATTCCCATGGTAAATTGGCAAATATTTTGCAAAAAAAAAAAAAAAAATTTAAATGACATTTTCAGGCCTTCTAAGTAGCATACTAAAATTATAAGTTGGAACTTCCTTTCTATAAGGCAGTTTGACTGGAAATACCATAGGCTTTATAAATGTTTAATTTCCTTGGGGTTGCCCCTGTGGCCTAGTGGTTAAGTTCACCTGGATCCCAGTGGCTGAACAAGGTTTGAACCCTGGTCCTGGCGACTTGATAAACTCACTGGACACATGTGTATGGATCCCTAGAATCCCAAGAGTTTGGAGAAATGGAGAAGGAGTTATGACATGGCCATTCCCCATTGGGGGATGCTGTCTCCCCTTCTTTGTTTTTCTCTGGTAAAAGCATGTGCTCCCTGACAATATTAAAAAAAAAATTTTTTTTGTTTCCTTTGAATCAATGGGAGTTCAGCAACATAGCCATTACACTAACTGCTGATCCCCAAAATAATTCTTTAAAACATATTTAGCCTTATTTGTAATAATGAAAAATTGAGACTAATTTAACTGACCGACTTAGGGTTGCTTCTTTGACTTCTTGTTCTGATTGCTCTCCTGAATTTCCTCATGATCAGCATCCTTTTTTTTTTCTTTGAATTTTTGCTGTAGGGCACATACCCTTATCCAAGAGAGACAGAGAGAAAGGGGGAAAGTGAAAGATCACCCCTCCCCACCAGGGGAAATAGCCACACTACAATACCTTCTTTTCCACTCTCCTATCGGGATTTTGTGCACACATGCACACGTGCCAGGCATGATTCTCAAGCTGCTGAGTCCGGGATTTGAGCCTCTCAGTCCACCATGTAGGATTCAGCCCTCAATTTCCATGCCACCTGCTGGCCTGGTCAGTGTCCTTAAAGTATAGTGCTTGGAACTAGACCAGCACTCCAAGGGTGATCTGCCCTCACAGGAGAGTGGGCCCAGGACTGCCCTTAATCTGGACCTGGATTTTCTATCCACATAGGTCCAGTTTCTGACCACAATACTCTATCTGTGTAACTGGGAGTACAGAAACCCAAGTATTGTCAGCTGGTGCCAGTCTCTAGCCATGCTTGTATCTTTTAAAGAGTGACAGTAGCTGCTATTTGCAGAGATGGCTATTCATGGGGACTCTCTTTCTTTGCCCGACAGAGGCCCAGTGTTCTAGCTCTAAGAGGGGTTCTGATGCCAGCATGTGAATCACACTCACTTGCTACTGTTCCAGAGTTTTAGACTACTTGTCGCACATCAGTTCCCATTCCCCCCTGCCCTGCCGGCGTTGTTACCCTGCCTCAAGTACCACACTGTGCCTGAACCTAATGCCCATCTCTGCATTCTCTCCGTGCGTCTCCTCTGTAGTTTTGTGCTACATTTGGAAAAACTGGAATCTGCTGATAGTGTTCAGATTCAGGACAGGTGCTGATCAACTTTTGGCAATAGGTAGTTTAATAAATCCTGTGGTTGGTTCTTGATTTCTGAATTGACTGGAGTATTTCTAACTGACATGTTCTTTCTCTCTCTCTCTCTCTCTCTCTCTCTCTCTCTCTCTCTTGGAGAGGTTTTTGCTATAGGGCACGTGCACTCACCAGAAAGACAGAGACAGAGAGACAAAAAGTGAAAAATAACCCCCCTAGGGGGATGGCTATGCCATAATCCCTTCTTTTTATTCTCCTCTCAAGATCTTGGGCATGCACACACACATGCCCAGCATGAGTTTAAGCCACTGGGTTCGGGACTCGAACTGCAGTTGACTACGTGGGAATCCAGCGGCATAGCCATTACACCAACTGTTGGTCCCCTGATTGACATATTCTTTAAGAACATTTTCTGAGAAATGTACTATGGAAATATTAGATATTTTTTGATTCACCATGAATAATTGAGAGTTGTCAGAAGAGTAAAACACTGTTGTGACTTCTGAATTTTCTTCAACTTCCATTTCCTTATTGCTGTAAGCTTGATAGGTTTGTGAAGTTCTTTCAATTCTGTTTTGCAAGGCATTCTAAAACTTCGTGTGCTTTCTTCTTCTTGTTTTTTTTCTTTTTAAGTATTTTTTTGCTATAGGGCACTTATACTCACCTGAGAGCCAGAGAGAGCCAGAGAATGAGATATTACTCTCCCAGGGGGGGATGGCCACGCAGCAATCCCTTCTTCATTCTCCTCTCGGGATTTTGGGCATGCACACACATGTGTGCAGTGTGGTTTTTCTTTTCTTTTCTTTTTTTGTTTTTTTTCTTTTTTGATTTAGGGCATGTGTGTGCTCAACAGAGAGCCAGAGAGACAGAAAGCAAGAAATCACCCCCCTGGGAGGATGGCCATGCTTCAATCCCTTCTCTATTTGGGATCTAGGGCATGCATGCACACGCTCCAATGTGAGGAGGGTTAAGTCACTGGGTTCGAGATTCGAACCAGGGTTGACTACATGGGAATCCAGCAGCATAATCATTACACCATCTGCTGGTCCCATGCCTGGGTGAGTTTTAAGCTGCTGGGTCTGGGACTTGAACCATGATCAACTACATGGGAGTCCAGTGATGTAACTATTACGCCATCTGCTGGTCCCAGTATGGATACCTGTTAGTAAAACTGTTTAATTATTTCTTTAATGTGGATGGACTATGCTCTCTGAGAGGAGATTGGTCTTTTTTTTTAGGAATTATTTAATTCTATTTATCATTATTATTGTTGTTGTTATTTTTATAAATTTGCATACTCACAGAGACACACACAGAGAAGGAAAATGAGAAAGCAAGCCACTAGATCTGGGACTTGAACTGTTGTCGTCCACATGGGAGTCCAGCACCTTAAACACCAATCCACCTGCTGGCCCTTTCCATCTTCTTTAAAAAATGTTTCTTTGCAGGGTTAGCAGGTGGCATGGTGATCAAGGGCGCTGGACTCCCACATGGCCAACCATGGTTCAAGTCCTAGACCTGGTGGCTTGCTTTCTCACTTTCTCTCTCTCTCTCTCTCTCTTGCTCTCCACCTCCACCCCCCGCCCTTCTTTGGGCAAGTTAAATAAATAAATAAATAAATAAATAAAGTTAAAAATTTTTTTTCTTTGCATCCCCTTTTTTTTCTCTTATTCAAATGCTTATCCTCATAGGTAGGGACATTTAAAGTTTTAAACAAATCATTATCTTTACTTGCCTTGGTGCATGTGGGGTCAAAGGATAGAACCTAAATATTTGTCATACCACAGATGCTGGAACTTGGTGTAATTTTTTTCATAGTTTTTTTTTTTTTTTTAAGATTTTTTGCCATAGGATACATGTACAACAGAGAGACAGAGAGAGAGGGAAAATGAGAAATCATCCCCCAGGAGGATGACCAACTTAGCAATCCCTTTTTCTCCATTATTCTTTTGGGATTTGGGGCACGCATGTGCACATGCCCAGCATGTTTTTCAAGCTCCCAGGTCTGGGACTGCAAGCCACGTGAGATCCAGCACCTTAACCACCATGTCCCCTGCTGACCCAAGAAATTTTATAAATTTTTCATCTTTATAAAAATACTCATTCAAGGGAACAGCAGATGGTGTAATGGTTACATTGTTGGACTCCCATATGGCTGACTGTAGTCTGAATCCTAAACCCAGTGGTTTCAGACTCATGCCAGGCGCATGTGTGTGCATACTCAAAATCCCAAAAGAATAAAAGAGAAGAGATTGCGGTGTGGCCATAAGTGCTGAGGAAGCCATTCCAGAACAAACGAGTGCATTAGAGCATTATAGGGGATCTGATAGAAATAGGTACAGGGTGCAGTGGAGCTACCAAGAAGGTAGTGGTTTTTGAATCTGAGGCATAACAAGGATGGCCTCAGAGGACGTGATTTTTAAGCTGAATATTGTAAAAGACACATGCGTGTTTACTGGGCATCAGTGAAGTGGGAGAATGGGAAAAGAGCACTTTAGGGTAAACGGAAGGAAAGGAAAGAGCTCAGGGTTGTAGGAAATGGTTTTGCTAAGCTGGAACAAAGGCTGTAAGATGAAGCTAGAGTGGTAGGTGGAGAAGATTTTGTATACTCTGCAAGTGATTTTGGTTTATTGCTGTAGCTGGGGGACTAATTGAAGAGGTCTGTTCATTTATGAAAGGGATTATATACTAAGGAGACAGAAATTGTCAAGCAATGCAGCTAGATGTTTAAGAATGTTTTATGATCACATCAAAATCTTGTGTGTGTGTGTGTTTGTGTGTGTGTGTGTTATTAGGCTATAATTTTATATTCATGTCCTAACTCTTCCCTCATTTATCTCTGTAAAATGACAGGTAGTATGCCAATATTTGAAAAATCCTGATGTATCTGATACAGTGTTGGTGCAGAATATTTTCCAAGCTCTCAATGTCTATTACAATCATTCGGGCCAGGTGAAATGTCTGAATATTTCAGAGACAGCAACTAGCAATCTGGGATCCCTGGGTTGGAGTTATCAGGTAAGCCTCTGTCAGTTTCCTAAGCTGAACTTAACTTTTCACTGATTCAGTTCTGCATGAAATTTTGTCACCTAACCTGGATACAATTCTGGAGTTTTACTTTAGGCTGTGAGACCATGGACAAGTTTCCTCATTCATCTGTTAACTCATTCATTTATTCATGTATTCAGTCATCACCAAATTAAGTGTTGAGTGCTTACCATGTATGAAGTACTTCTTAGGCTTCAAAGACACCAGGAAGGACCAGCAGTTGGTGTAATGGCCATGTCGCTGGACTCTCATGTAGTCGACTGTGGTTCAAGTCCTGGGCCCGGTGACTTAAACTCACGCCAGGTGCGTGTGCGTGCGTGTGTGCCCAAGATCCCAAGAGGAGAAAGGAGGAGAAGGGATTGCGGCGTGGCCATCCCTCCTGGGGGGTGATTTCTCACTTTCTGTCTCTCTGTTTCTCTCCGTCTCTCTGGCGAACGCACTTGCCCTATAGCAAAAACCTCTCAAAAAAAAAAAAAAAAGACACCAGGACAAAGTATACATGATCTACCTTCAAATATAGCCTGATGAGAAAGCTAGGTAACTAAATTATTGCTAATATTGCAATAACTCTTGGTAGATCCCATACTATAAAGAAAGCATTTTATAGACATAAAAGAAGGAGCGTCTAGGGGACCAGCAGGTGGCGTTGTGGTTAAGGTGCTGGACACTCCCACATGGCTGGCCACGGTTTGAGTCCCGGACCTGGCGGCTTCCTTTCTCCCTTTCTCTCTCTCTCTCTCTCTCTGTGTCTCTCTCTGGTCAAATTCAAATAAATTAATGAATAAATAAAATTAAATAAATAATAATTTTTTAAAAAAAGAAGGGGAGTCTAATTTGACTCTCTGAACTTCCTCTGCCCAATGATATTTATAATAATACTTTCCCTCTAGAATTATTTCAAGGTTTAAATATAATAATGCATGTGAAAGAAAGCAGTTTACAAAGAAGAAATATATAGTCCTAAATTCTGTGGCTTCTCAGTCAAGCTTTTCTGCTAATGAGAGGTTGCATGGCATAGAAGTAAAGAACAGGGGCTCTGAGGACAGATTGCCTGGGCTCAAGCCTGGTGTCCTGCTTACTAGCTGTATGACCTTGGTTAGTTTATTTAACCTCTTTGCACCTTGTTTTCTCATTGGATCCTCTTCTGGTTTGCTTTATAGGCTTGCACAGAAATAGTCATGCCCTTTTGTACTAATGGTATTGATGACATGTTTGAACCCCACTTATGGAACTTGAGGGAATATTCTGATGACTGTTTGAAACAGTGGGGTGTGACACCAAGGCCCTCCTGGATCACTACTATGTATGGAGGCAAAAACATCAGTTCACACTCAAACATTGTTTTCAGGTGAGTGTTTGCTGGTCCAAAAAGGAACCTTGGTTGATGGAGACATTTGTACAACAGCTGAGAAAACAGAACCAGGGAAATGCCGGACAATAGAATAACAGGTTTTCCTATTCCTTGAAAGACAAAGGATGCTGAGAAGAAATAATATTTGTATGCTCTTTACCAATGTTCTTAAAGGCTTAAAAAACAGTGACAGCAGTGAAAATAAATATTAACAAAACTCTCCAGCACAAAATGAAGTATTGGCTATTGTTCTCGATTTGTATTATTATTACTATTATTAGTTATGATAATAAACACTTTTCAGTATTTATTCAACAAATATTTTTGAGGTACCTACTCTTTTCTGTTCCAAGTACTATGCAAGAAACTTTAAATAGTATACATCACCTAATTGCATCTTCGTAACAACCCTGTGAAGTATTAGGTTGTCAGGAAAGTCATGACATATTTTTCTGTTTTTCTATGAAAAAAATGTGTCGTGACTTTCCAGACAACCCAATAGTTACTATGGTTCCTTTTTTACCAGGAGGTAATGGAAGGTTACCATGTTCAGTCACTAGGCCAAAGCTCATCAGCTTTGTTTTAGTCAGCAAATGGTAAGACCAGATTTCTCCTGTGTCCCAACTACAAAACCCATGTTTGTTCTATATTATGCTGCTCTCTAAGAAGTGACGTACTGGGCATTAGTTCACATCAGAGTTAATTGTGTAGGTTGCATTTGTATCTGACCATGACTTCAAATTTTTGTGTTTTGGCTAACTATAGTTTTCAGATCAATCTTACAAAGTGACAGTTAAGCAAATAAGTCTATTTAAGGAAGCTGTGTCAAATGTGGGATATTTGATGTCAGGAAAACTTGAGAGGACTGAAAAAAGCTTAAGGAGAAGGCTTTGGGTCTGTTTTAGTCTGTTTGTGCTACACTAACAAAATACTTGAGACTGGATAATTTATGAACAGTATGAACTTATTGCTCATAGTTATGGAGTCTAAGATCCAGGTGTTAGCAGGATCCATGTTTGGTAATGGCCTGGTTTCTGTTTCTAAGGTGGTACCTTAAAGGCTGTGTCCTAACATGGTGGAAAGTGGAAGGGCAAAAAGGGGCTTAAGCTATTTTCCTCCAGCATTTTTTTTTAGTTTTTGCCATAGGCATGCACTGACCGAAGAAAGACAGAAAGAGAGGGAAAGTGAGGAATCACCCCCTGCCCAAGGGAGATGTCCTTGGTACGATCCCTTCTCCTTTATTCTCCTGTCAGGAATTTGGGGGTGCACACATACCATGTGTGTGGATCTGGGACTCAAACTGTGTAGTCAGCCATGTGGGATCCAGCTGCCCTAACCACTTCATGACCTAGCTGGCTCCTCCAGCCCTCTCTAATGGTGTGTGTGTGTGTGTGTGTGTGTGTGCGCGCGTGCGCTTGCTAGAGAGAGACAGAGAGAAACACAGAAACAGAGAAAGTGAGAAATCACTCCCCCAAGGAGTATGGCTATGCCACAGTCCTTTCTGCTTCATTTTCTTCTCAGGATCTTAGGCATCCAAGCATATGTACTGGGCTTGAATTTCAAGCCGCTGGGTCCAGGACTCGAACCGTGGAGTTGGCTGTATGGAATCCAGCCCCTTAACCACCATGCCACCTGCCAGCCACTGGGTATTATGTTTTAATAGAGAACTTGGTGGCATATTTACTATAGATCATAACAGTGTTGAAGCTCATCTTTATTTTGCTAGAGGAGAAAGTACTTCATCAATTTCTGATTTTTCTTTAAGAGTTTATTTTCATGGAGTTTTTCTTTTTTTTTTTTTTTATAATTTGCCAGAGGGCATGTGCATTCACCAGAGACAGAGTGAGACAAAAGGAAAATAAGAAAGCATCCCCCCCCCGTGGGAGATGGTCATGCCACAATCCTTTCTACTCCATTTCTTCCTCCTTTTGGGATTTTGAACATGCATGCACACACACTCAGTGTGTTTTTCAAGCTAACAGGTTTGAGACTCAAAACATGCTCTCAACCACATTCAGTTTAACCACCTGAACCACCATACCACTAGCTGACCTTCCATGAAGTATTTATGTATGTTTTTCAAGCATCTTGAACTTCAAGCATTATTTACCCTTACTTTAACCCTACAAAGCTGAAGTGCGACATGCTTTGCAACATGTGGGGTGCATGTGTGTGCATGCCCAAAATTCTGAGAGGAGAATGCAGAAGGGATTGAGACATGGCAATCCCCCCAGGGGGTGATTTCTCACTTTGTCTCTCTGATGAGAGACATGTGCCCTATAGCAAACATCTCTTTCTTTTTTTTTAAGAGGTTTTGCTATAGGGCATGTGCGCTCGCCATAAAGACAGAGAGAGACAGAGAGACAGAAAGTGAGAAATCACCCCCCAGGGGGGATGGCCACACCGCAATCCCTTCTCCTCCATTCTCCTCTTGGGATCTTGGGCACGCACGCACATGCACCCGGCGTGAGTTTTAAGCCACTGGGTCCAGGACTCGAACCGCGGCTGACTGCATGGGAGTTCAGTGACATAACGATTACACTAACTGCTGGTCCCGCAAACTTCTCTCTTTTTTTAAAAAAAGAAAAGCTAAAGTATAAGTTGAATTGTTAAATGAAGTTTGAATCTTCATATGAGGTCTTAATATATGAATTTTCGTCAGATACATTGTTCATTTTTAATGGAGTCAACCATTACAGATAAGTATTTGGTTATCTATTTGTCCTTTTATATTTTTTTCTCAGGTTGTCAGTCATCATCATCATCACTGCAGGAGAGGGTAAATTTTGTGAAAAAACTGAGAAATAAAACAAAAGTCAGTAGATGAAAATTATAGCTTAATGTAAGAAACTTAGATTGGTGTAAGAAGGGAAAAGGGTGATTTCTTTTTCTTTTTAAAATTTTTTTAAGAATTATTTTATTTAACTTTATTTATGTGTTTATTTATTTATTTTAATTTGACCAGAGAGGGACAAAGAGAAAAAGTCGCCAGGTCCAGGATTTGAACCTCATTCGGCCATATGGGAGTCCAGCGCCCTTAACCACCATACTACCTGCTGGCCCTGGGACTTTTTTTTTTTTTTTTTTGGAGAGATTTTCGCTATAGGGCACGTATACTTGCCAGACAGACAGAGAGAGACAGAGACAGAAAGAGAAATCACCCCCCAGGGGGGATGGCCACACCGCAATCCTTTCTCCTCCATTCTCCTCTGGGGATCTTGGGCACGCACGCACATGCGCCCGGCATGAGTTTTAAGCCACAGGGTCTGGGATGCGAACCATGGTCGACTACGTGGGAGTCCAGCGACATAGCCATTACGCTAACTGCTGGTTCCCTGGCCCTGGGACTTTCTAAAAGAACTGTGCAATAGTAGAATGAGCTATCTTAAATAAAAGTGCTTAAGCTCTTTGATCCTCAGATCTATGTTCTGTAAAATGAGAATAATAATAGTGATACCTGAAAGTTAACCCAGCAAAGTATTTGACCGAAGGCCTACCAAATATGTATGCTGTACTCTAAAAACAGTCATAGAATGAATAGATGGCAGTACACTCTTTTAGAGCAGAATGTTACATTCTAAACACAGGCAGCTGTATATTTGTCCCTGAATATCCTTTCACTTCCTCTTTTTTCCCTTTACTTAAGACTCAGGCCTTTTTCAAGAAATCGTCCCTTACCCCTGCACGTTCCCAGCACCTATGAATACTGCTTAGCACTCTGTGGGAAGATTGTCTGTGTTTCTATCTGCATAATAGATTGTGAATTTCTCTATGTCAGGGACTTTATCTTAGTCATTCTTAGTCGTCTCTGCTTTTAGCTCCTGCTACCATGACTGGCACATAATGGATACCCAATAGATAAATGTGTTGAGGAGTAGGAAGGAAATACACAGCTCAGGAAGGCTTTAGAAGCATGAGAAAGTTAAGGGGCAAAACTCTGTGAACATGCTGGTTTATCTTTCTCAAGTGGCAAGTCTACTTTTACAGAGATATCTTTTTCTATAGTGGGCTTCCAGGAATGAAAGATTCAGTGTAAAATTTTAAAAAAATATTTTAAAAATTCAGAATTTTCCTGCTTTTTTGAAGAAAGCACATTCCCAAATGAGCAGCCTCGGGTTTCTCTGTTCCATGTGTGCTGTAACTACCAGCTTTAAAACATTTCTGGAGACCAGCAGATGACATAATGGTTACGTTACTGGACTCCCATGTAGTTGACCACCTGAGTCCCAGACCCTATGGCTTAAACTCAGGCTGGGCACAGGTGCATGAGTGCCCAAGATCCTGAGAGGAGAATAGAAGAGAAGGGATTGCAGTGTGACCATCCCCCCTTGGGGGTGATTTCTTGCTTTCTGTCTCTCTGTCTTTCTCTGTCTCTCTGGTGAGTGCATGTGCCTTATAGCAAAAATCTCTCAAAAAAAAAAAAAGTTTTTGGTTGAGTAAGAAAATGTCCAAGGAACCATGTGGAAAGTATCTTTGTGTTCAGGTCTCTTTAGTTTTCGTCATTTGAATACAAATATGCCTGCTTTTCTGGTTGCAAAGTTCAACCTGTAATTGTTAGATTGGAAGTTTTCCAGTTAAACCTCTGAAGCCAAGTAGACATTAGTATCATTCTGCTTTCCCCCAAATCCACTACAGAGCCTTGGAAAAATTGTCAACTTATATGTTAGAAATAATAATGACTAGAAAACAGTTATTTTAAGGTAAGTAGATTTTTGTGGAAGCAGAAATTTTGTCAGTTTTGTTTAGTGCTTAAACCCCATGCCCAATCAGTGCTAGATACATAGCAAGTACTAGCAAACATTTGTTGAATGAACAAGACCTTAATAAATAGATATTAACTACAACTATCAACAGGTAGTTCCACTTCAGGTTTTTTGTTTTTTTTTTTTTTTACTTCCACTATTTGTTTTGTTGGAAAGACTTACTTTTTTCTTTAACCCATGGACAGTATTTTACCAATGATCATTCTCATTTAAATATAAATCCAAAAAGGACTT